GGTCAAACTTGGACGACCTTCTGAGAAACGCTATGGCTGTGTGTTTAGCTGCTTACAGACAGGAGCCGTTTGTCTTGAGATAGCCGCCAGCCTGACCACGAATTCTTTCGTTCGGTGTCTGACGAGACTCATGAGTAGACACGGACGTCCCACTGACATCTACAGCGACATAGGAACCAATTTTGTCGGAGCAGTAGCGGAACTCCGAAAGGACTTACACAATTTGGACTAAAATAGTGTCGGACCAACTGCTAACTCAAGAGATACAGTGACATTTAACCGACCCACTGCCAGTCATCGGGGAGGCATCTGGGAACGCATGGTCAGGTCTCTACGACGGATTCTTCTTGCTCTCTGTAAGTAGCAGTCTCCAACTTACGAACAGCTCGGCACCCTCTTCGTGTAGGCTGAATGTATATTAAATAATTGATCGCTAGTCCCGCTAACATCAGACAGCAACGATTTGGAACCGCTTACTCCGAATAGCTTATTGTTAATGAAGAACTGTCCACTGCTGCCTTGCAGTGACGAATTGGTAGCACGGTACCGCGTTGGATGGAAACATATACACTACCTCGCTTGCGTGTTCTGGAGACGATGGGTAAAGGAATATCTCCCAAGTCTGCAGAAAAAGACAAAATGGACAAGAGAAGCCGCGGAACTGAAACCAGGTGATGTTTTGGTTTCTGGGGAGCGCACACCTCGTGAGAATTGGCTTTTGGGAGTAACAGATACGTACGAAAAGATTCGCGACAGCCTCCTTAGGACGGTATACATTAGAACGGCAGGCGGTCTCTAAAAAAGGGATGTTAGAAAGATTTGTCTACTTGAGGGCGAGAGCAGCCGTAAACCTCCAAAACCGTAAGTTGTTCTCAAGAGTTGGACGTAGAGAATTCGCGTGCGGTGTTCTATCCAGCTGGTCAACACTTGGAATTCTCCACGCCCTCCTCGCAAGTGCTTCGACATTTGACCCCTATTGACATTCCCCTTCCCCCTTCTTTGTAACCTCTTTGGAGCGTGAGCGGCGTTCTTTTAATTAACTAGTTTTTGTATTCTGATCTTGACCTGGGAAGTCGATTTGCTCGAACAGTGACAAAAGGATTCTTTGTCTAGGATATCCATTGTTGAGGTTTGTACGTTTTTTATTATCACCTTATTACCTTTTATTATTACCTTATTCTATCAATAGTACCTTATATGCACCTATTTTAATGTCCTTAGCGGAATTATCAAGTGCACCGAGCTGTCACTGCGAGTCCACTGACTAGTAGTGTCTGCGATGTGTTAGAGATCAATCCCATGCGACTTCAGCATTCTACGGTTCTGTGCTTTTCGAAGACGACACAGCATCTCAAGTTGATTTGCATGGAGGCAACTTCTTGGCAAACTGTTTACGATCACCCCCCTGACTTCACAAAAGTTTGACATTCTAGACACCTTAAATATTGTGGAGTGACTGGAACATCTGATGAAATTGTGAAATCGCGTATATTTCAGTTTGCGTCTCAGTGAGTTTACTAAGGTTATCGGTAAATGCAGCTGAAATTTAAGAAGCTATTTCTCGACTCATTGTCGTCGCCGACAGATTTCCACACCTGCAGCTATTTGTGCTCGTCATAATGTTGCCACGCGCGTGCATTCCAGAGACAGGTTCCAAGCCCAAACCAAGTCGGTCGTATTACGTCGTCCCAAACGTTACTCCTCTGTTACCTAGGAATTCTCAGTTTTCAAGAGAACTTTAAACCAGGATGCGACGTCTTTCACGCAGGTGGAACTTTAGGGGTTAGTCACATATGTCCTTTGAACCACCTTTGGGAATCCTTTTGAAAAACAGTAGGGTTACTCTTATATCATATTTAGCATCGTAGAAAATGTTGCTCTGCTAATTAGAATAATAAGTTAGCTAGTGTCTTGAGGAAGTATTCCCACGCCAAAGTCGTGAGCTGGCCTGTGAATCTAGTACTCAGGAAAGGACAAATTATATGTTTTCGGCCAGTGTTTCGATTATCATCTTGCGGTCATTGTATTATGGTGGTGTGGGGTTGAGATGGTAACGGGGGGGGATTCAGGGCGGATCCACACTGATTTTTTGAGAACTTCAGAGATACGAAATGTATCTATTTAATTAATATTTTTTCTAACTTCACAGACCTCAAACTCAAACCAGCATGTCAACCGAAAGTGCCTCCGCATCAGCCCTCAACAAAAGGACCATATTTGTCGGTCGCCTAAAGCCAACGACCACAGCAGCTGATCTTGAAAACTACTTTTCCAAATTTGGCAGCGTCTCGAGGGCCAAAGTAGCGACTCATTTGTACAGTAGCCAGTGTCGGGGCTTCGGTTATGTCGAGTTCTCGGACAGGAAGGCCTTTGAGGGTGGTGTTCTGGAAGCCTGTCACTTTCTAAACGGCTCTCGACTAAAAGTCGAGCTTTACGAACGCCGGACTTCATCTAATTCAGATTCTGACCACACGTGATGTCGAATTTTCGTCAACCCCAATATTTGGCTTCATTTTTGGTCGTCTGCTTTTACTGTTAATTCACCACCACCACCACCACCACCACCACCACCACCACCACCACCACCACAAGCTTACGGTGGAAGAGAGTCTATTTATATTGGCTTCTTAGCATTAAACACCGTCATTCGTTTCGCCAAACAGCAGTCTGCTTTCGTCAAAATGCCCGTAATTCCGCTATTTTGAAGGAGAGTTATTTTGTGCAGTACGATTGCCGTTTTCGCGAAGAATGGTTCCGAGATCTTCAACTGGACGTTCTAAAACTAACTGCTGGTGGAATTATTAAGTGACCAAAAGGTGTGTACGGCTTCTTTTAGGATTTTGACCATTATTTATTGAATATTGATGAGATATTTCAGACACAAGTAATTATTATTTTCAGAAGAGACAGTGGCGAGCGAACGTTCCTTTCGGTAACTTCTCGTCAGGCCAATACAGTTACATAGGACGGGGTACAATGGGTGAAAAAATCGACAAAAGTTAGTTTTTAAATTCCAGGCTGGGCAAGAGCAGAAGGGCGCAGAAAGTTGTGTGTGGTTAGTCAACCTTTGACCACGGCAAGCGCAAAGCCTGAACAAGGTTCTTTTGGGCGCATTGGGTCGGTTTTCGTAACCTGATGGCCGCCGCTTCCGCTGTTGCTAACAGGCGCTGGCCCAGTAGTTTAGGATAGCTAGAGGGGACCTTGTAAATCACACGAAATGATTCAGCGTGGTCCACACGATCCCTTGAATCCACTGAATGCGCAAGGATGGCGCTGTCTATTCTCCTAGTTTCACCCTTTGCCAGCCATGCGGGAAGGTGCTCTCGTATTCTTTTGGAAAGGCGCCGACTCGTACGACCAATATAACCTGCTCCACAGGAGCAAGTGAGTGAGTAGATGCACATGGAGGCGGTCTGAGGTGGCAGCCTATCCTTGCCTTCTCCGCGTAAAATAGGGTTAATGGAGAATGATATGCGAACCCTTGCTGCCGGGAAGGTTCCCGAGACAGCTTTGTCAAGGCGTATTCTTAGTAGTTCACTTGCAGCGTCTCCTTGAAAGGGGACTTTGAGGAACAAGGTTTTCTTTTCGCCGGTCGGTGTGGTGGGTTTTGCGGGTTGTTCGGCAAAGTTCTTTGCAATGAACCTGTCAGGGTACCCGTTTTCGGGAAGCAAGTCCTGGATTTTTCCAAGTTTCTCCTCGATGCTATCTGTTGAACAGATTTTTCTAACCCTTTGTGCCAAAAACCCGACTAGATTTCGTTTTTGTTGGAGAGGTACAAAACTAGCGAAGTTCGTGTATTGTCCAGACCAGGTTTTCTTTCGATAGACGCTCCTTCGGATGCTACCGTCAGATCTCCTGTTTAGAAGGACATCTAAGAAAGGAAGCGAACCAGCCGACTCCATCTCCACCGTAAATTTGATCGACGGATGTACCTGATTTGCAGCATTAAGGAGGGCAAGGACGTCTGTTTCTGTGGTTGCAATTGCAAAAATATCATCAACGTGGCGACCATAATGTTTATGCTTTTTGATCTGATTGCTTAGTCGAAATCTCTCCAGCTTGCTCATGAAGACGTCGGCTAAGAGAGGTCCAAGAGGTGAGCCCATGGCAACGCCGTCTATTTGTCTGCAGAGTTGGTTGTCAAAAAGGAACTGCACATTTAATGTACGTCTTAGTAACACCTTGTTATTTCGTTATTTTTGTTAGAGAACATCCTTATAAGAGTATAACCGGCCAGTTTTATGTTTCCCCACAAAGCTGGGGTGTTCGTATACCACAGACAAGTGGTCTAGCCAAATAAGTCTCGAGTGAGGAGTGGATCACTCCGTTATTGCTCCAGACATACACCGGTAAATTGTGCACTATGTCCTAACGTGGTCTTGCACACACTGTCGACTGCCGATTTGGTGGTGTTGCATTTAGTATGATGAAGTTAAATGCCTGGCTACTTCACACACGGACGTTGTGGTCGGAAGCCATTTTAGCTTAACTCTGCGAAAATCCCATGGGGTCCGAAATCAGGTGCTACGGTGCCGCATGGTTCTCCAGTTTGGTGTGAATGTTCTCTGCCAGTGTGTTGATATTTCCCAGGTTCTCTTACCATTCGGTTTTGTGCAATTGAGTTTTGTTTGAGGTGCGTTCGGCCCCCTTTAGCGGACTTTTCTATGTATGTAGAGACGCCTCATTCGCATTGTGCCCTACAACCCCGGTTAAAAGCCCTCACGGAGTGGAACGTTTGTGAGCCTTAATCGAGGTGAGCAGATAACGTGCGATTGAACCCACTTTTTCGTTCATCCTGCAGGATGGTCATTGGATCGTTGGGACGCCAATTTAGACTAAAACCGTTCACTTGGCTTTACAGCTGAAAATCAAGACTGCTCAGTGAAGTCACCTCTACCGGCAATGTTTCGGTACGAGCCATTTCTGATTTCGCATAATCTATTCTACTTGTAACTTATTAGCAAGGATGAGGTGGACAGACTCGTCTGTGAGACCCGCCCTCAGGATATCCAGAGAACCAATACCTGCCAGAGACCGCCTTCTGTGCTGGTGCGGAGTTCATCAGAAGAGTTTAATGCGCACTTGAACTGCGACTGGAATTTCGGTTGGAGGCGAATATGCGAATCCCAGGTTCTTGTTGTAAAGACGATGAACAAGCGATCTCTGGAGTAGTAGGTGTATTCGTCTGAGCTTTCGGTCTCGTACAGAAGGCAATCGTCAGGGCCTGCGAGAATGCGGCATCAAATGAGCAGTTTTTGTAGTCAAGACATAAGGGAAGGGGGGATAGGAGTGCAGGGGGTGGTATTCGCGATAAGCTGTCCCTCGCCGTCTCACGGTGACGTGACTGCGTGCACCCTGGGCTGCAAATTAGGTCTCGCCTATTGGCCGCGGGAACGGAGAGCGTGATAGCAGGGAGGGCGGGGGGGGGTATGTTGACGTGCCTGTTGATAGAGTGGTGTCAGACACCCAGGCCGCCAACACCTCTCGCCCTGTCTTATTGCTGGCCCGCGCCATTAACCGCGGGCCCGCAAAGTTGAATTCGTGAGTGGCGACCCGAGACAACGCGTCGCCTCTCCGGACCGCCCGTTTATGTTCCGTTATTCGTGAGCTGAGTCCTCGCCTGGTGTGTCCTGCGTAATGACGATGGCAGTCCCGACATGGGATCTGATAAACGACACCCGATTGTTCTCCCACGTCTAGTCGGTCCTTCACTCGCATAATTTTGTTGCGCATGGCTGTGTGCAACTGAACCATGCTGCGAATCAGCTAGGTTCGGGCTTGAGACTTATGAAATTTTTCCACATCCAACAGGCGGGAAAGTAGTTGGAAGTGTGCTGGGAAATAAAACAAGTCGACAACAAATTTAATTCAGCGTATTTTGTTTCTACTAAGCAGTCGGCCGGTTTTAGTTGTTTCTCAATCTTTATCTGTGGTGGAGTCATTTAGGACCGCCTAAAGCTGAAAAGCGGGGTATCTGAAGGCCACGTATGCAGGATGCAATCCGCTTCGGTGGACAACAGGAAGTAATGACCGTTTTTAAATTTACGGTGAAGGAATTGTCTGATGACCGTCTATGTGAAGTATTAAGAGTTTCTGAGGCATTTTCATGCTCTGAAGGAATACGTGGCGAAACGTAATTTTGTGCTCCGGTTCTGACAACTTTACAAATCGGAGCACTCTGTTTACGAAACTCGTGCACTACGGTCAACACCGACTATGCTTATTCTCCTGTGTTATCAAATGTCTTGGAGGTTCCACTTGGAAGTAGCTAGTGTCTACGTACTGAAGTAGACCGGGGCGTTTTAATCGCTAGAGGACATGCTTCTCTTCCACGTGCAGGAAGCAATTAAATTGCTCTTACGAATTCGCAGTGAGATGTTTTTGTGTAATGTCCGCTAAATGCGATGTAATATCTCCTTCGTGGTTTTAAGAACCGAGACGGGCAAGAGCGCTGCTTCAGCAAAGACGCACTGATATCCTTTGTACCCGTCTTAGCGTGCCGACCAATCGTCGGATATGGCAAAAAAGGCACACAGCAGCCAATATAAATAGCGCAACTTTCTGACGAGTTGTAACCTCTCGTGTCCGCAAGTTACCAAAAAAGTGCTTGTCCTCCGAAACGACTTTCTTTCTTTCCTACTCTCCTTCCGGGCCATAACAGAAATCAATCGGAAGAACAAGGCCTAGGGGACTTCTGATTGGCAGGTGATGTCGGCCCGAGGCATGTGCTCGAATACAGGCTTAGCGGCAGCCAGACGTGCAGATGCGAAACCCCGGAGCCTAGAAAACACGAAGGCATCCGCGGGACGAATATGTGGAACGATGTAGTGCAACAGAGTAGAGACGCTGAAGATGAGACGAACGCTTGGGATTTTGGTAAAAGGCTGTCGGGCTTGATCGCAGTTGGTAGCCAGGCCCCGTATTACAGGTTGCTGGGGTTTGTTTACTGGGGCTTTTTTGTGGGGCTAAATAATCACGTCTGACGCATTTGGCTTACGTTTGAGGTTAGGATTAGGGTACCGGTTAATCGTTTCCGATTTTCCGGTTAGGATTATGCCCCCAGGCTCAGGTTTTCGGGTTACGGTTAGGGTTTGAGTTTACGATTAGGTTTCAGTATTACGGTAGGGTTATACAGTTAGGGCTATGTCTAAGGGCTAAGGTTATGTTTACCATTTCGGTTAGGGTTAGGGTTAAGGTTGCCGTTAGGGTTAACGGTTTACGTCCAAAATTAAGATTAGGGTTAAGGTTAGAATTAGGTTTAGAGTCGCCGTCCGCTTTCCCATTCCTGGCTACCAACTGCGATCTATCCCAAAAAATGAATGAGCGCCCAACAGGACAGGTTTATTGGGATACTGACCTTTCGGAAGAGATAGTCGGCTCACCATTGTCAAATAGTAAACTGCACTTGATCGAACAGAAAGAGAAGTGGCGTGTCGCTTTAGTTGGTCTCGTTCATACCAATTTTTATTGCTTCCTGAGGCTTTCGGGGGACGTTTGGCGGGCGTTTTTGCTGGATGCGTTGCAAGTCACTACCTCGTCTGGGTGATAGTGGTTGAACCGCTGTCGCGGTTGGTCGGACTGACGGTAGTTATTCCTCGTCGAGTGAGCTTGTTTTCGGGCTGTGCCTGCGCGATCTTAAGTTCTGCGTGGTGGTCTTGTCCTGAGCTTGGTGAACGTAATGGCGCAAAGCCTGGTAAGCTGCAGGGAGTTCCAGATGCCCATTGATGAAGTAGGCAAATGCCGGGTGCGGACGAGATTCCGGCAATGATTACAAACACAACGGCATGAAACTCTTTGAAAAGCTCGCTTGGCAGTTCCAGAAGAAATCACGGTGAACTTTAAAGATTCCACCGTAGTACACATTTCTAAGTGTAGGCGAACCGGCAGTTCTGTAGTTATCACAGAGACAAAAACCTTACGAACACTGCTTGGAGATTTCTCGTTCTCATTCTACTCAATCACCGCCTGGAGCGAGGAGTGCTCTCGAAAGTCACTTTGACTTACGAGGATACGATCGACATGGTCTTTCCTGTTTGTCATCTTTAAACAAAAGCATCAGAAGATGAGAAACAACATGCACACCATCGTCGTTATGTATGGCAAAGGTCTTCAACGCAGCCAGCGCGACAGTCCCTGTCAAAATTTGCTTCGATTTTCATCTTCGGAACACCTGCAAGTGATAAACCCATTAGTTCGGCACAGTGAGTAGGCTATCCAGGAAACGAAGATAGTAGTATCCCAACAGTTACAAACTAGTAAATAAGAACAAAGTCGTCAGCAGGTTAAATGCACGTGTTTGTTCTATGTCTCATTCAAAGTTGTTTCAAGTTATTTGAAAAGCTTATTGTAATTGAGCAAAACAAAACGGACTTAAATGTCACTACACACCTTTACCCAGATGGTGCGACAACTTTATGTGCCAGTGATAATTTGAGTTAGGGATAATGAAGCAATGTCGAAGGCATTTACAGTGACAAATGGGTTATGCTGGGTTGTTTCTTGTCGATATGCGATGGTCGACATATGATCAATCCAAAATCAAACCGGAGAAGACAATCTCTGCTGCTGTAAAAGAGAGTACCTGAAGCTTAGCAATCAGGCTCGCCAAGCCGTCTTTGTGTGTGTATAAGTCCTCCGCGGAAGTTGTTGGATCCCAGCGCGTGGTTGCGCCGTTTCTATCTTTCTAAGTGATGTCCGTCTGCAACCAATGTTCGGACGCAGCTTGGATTGGTCCCTGGAGCTAAATCATAAGCAGATCCCAGCAGTAGATTGTCAGAATGAGGGCGGGCAGAATGGTAGTTTGAGTAAGCTGTCGCACTGGCGATCGCGGCAGTGGACTGCCACCCCTTCACCCCTTGCCCCTTTCACTTTCATGAAATTTATGATGGTGGAGTGTGCCTAAAATGAGGAGAGATCAGGATTTTACATCGAGCATCGGACAGACGAGAAACTGCCTAGCATGGGACTCAGGGCAAGTCCGCTCAAGAGAAAACAAGGCCAGCGTCCACGAACTAATGCTCGCTGGTAGCTGCGCACTTAAACGTAGGCTCACTAAACATCTAACTATTGTCCTCAAACGCAATTTGTCCCAGTTTCGGACACGCTATGTCATCACGCGTTGGCCTAATAGGTCACTTGCGATGAGACTGGTTTAGCAACGTCTGAACTCACAACAAACTTCAATTCCATTTCCCTACTTGCCCACAATGTATCAAGACATCTGGACACAACATAGACCTTATCGGACACACGCGCATCTACAACAGCAACATTCACAACAATATTGCCTAAACAAATCCTCCCACCACACCCGAAAACTTCTAACCAACGCAAACAGATGTACCAGAAATAGCATCGCCACCACGTTTAGCACTAATATTTGCGGTCACATCCGATACTTACTGCAACCGCCCATTCGGATCATGCATTTGGTTGGTCGGTCACTTGCGGATCCATTGTATTGGAATCCCAACAAACACCAGTGACAATTGCTTCACCGGCCAATCGCCATTTCTTGTCCTTGCGAGCCCATCAACCTCTCTAAAACATGATTTCGCCCCACACCACTTGCCAAGCGCTGTAACCTTTTTAGCTGCAAGCCCGTAACCCCTTCCCAGTCTTCGGATGTTGGGCCCAACGACACATGCCAAAACGAATGCACTTCAGGTAAGTGAGAAGCAGGTTCATTGTGTATCTTGGGATAGCCAGTGGTCACCAGAAGCCTACGTAGACGGGGCCGACACTAGCGAATATGTACGGACGACATACCAGTGCGTTGTTCACTGCTATAAATCTGACGTACCGAGATCTACCGGGATGGGCTAGGGTTGGTGGGTTGGGTGGTTGTCAACTGGAGAGATAGCATAATCTCCACTGGTGTATTTTGAATTATCTGCTGAACTGAGAGCCCGATTGCAGCGATACCTTAACCATGTGGCCTTGGTGGTACTGTAGCGCTTCTGTAGCCTCCTGTTTCTGGCACCCACAAGGTGACTCCCTAGAGCCAGAACGTGAGCGCATTCAGCTCAGAGGAAAGCCAATCACAAGCGTCAACAAACTACACTGTCACCCTGTCAACTGACCGGGCTCGTACTGGCTCGTACTCTCACGCGACTCCTTTTCTCTCACGTCTACATCACCCTGGCGCACAGGGATACAGCTGGCTCCGCGTCGGGGCTTGTGGCAGCCACTAGGCTTCTATACAGAATATGCTTCTCCTACTGGTGTCTTTCACCTTCTCCTCTCAAGCAGGACTGGGCCGTGATTATTGTGTCGATGGGAGTTTACTCTCACGGCCTAGGTATCACAGTACTCTCGCGCCACATGAGGTCCGAGTTGCCCTTATGAGTACCTGGTACGGGTGCGGCTTACATTTCTCCCTCACCTCGCCCCTACCCGGCAGAAAGGCGTGCCTACGCCGAGGGAAGGCGTAGGCGCAGGCGACTTGTGGAGGGGGAAAATCTGAATGTATGGGGATCTGCATATTCCTGCCGTCATTGTGACATAATCAGCCTTCCATATCGATCTGGTAGGTCCTATTCCAACATCGCGTGGTTGCAACTACTTACTTACTTACTGCGATTGACCGATTTACCCGCTGGCTCATTGCAACTCCCATACCTAACATAACTGCAGATTCCGTTGCTCATGCCGTTTTGGAACACTGGATCTGTCATTATGGCGTTCCCTCAACTATTACCACTGATAGAGGCCAACAATTCGAGTCTAGACATTTTAACAGCCTTTCCGACCTCCTCGGATGTTCTCGTACACGCACGACAGCATACCACCCCTCATCCAACGGCGTAGTCGAGCGTTTCCATCGGCAACTCAAAGCCTCCCTCCGAGCTCATGACAACCCTTCCCATTGGAGCGAGCATCCCCCCTGGTCATGCTCGGTATCCGCACTGCACTCAAGCCCGACTTGGAGTGTTCCGCCGCCGAACTTGTCTACGGTACTGCCCTACGGATACCAGGTGACTTTTTCGGGCATACTCAAAGCTCAGCCAACTTGGATCCCAGCGATTATGTGCAAAGATTGCGCCATGCAATGCCTCCACGTCCTCCAACAAGTAAGTCGTACATCGACCCGAGCCTACTAACATGTTTTTTTGTATTTGTCCGTGTAGATAGCTTTCGTCGGCCACTGCAACAGCCCTATGACGGCCCACTTCGAGTACTATCTCGAACGGACAAGCATTTTACAATTGACCGTGGAGGCCGCACCGACGTGGTCTCAGTCGATCGCTTGAAGGCGGCTTAAACCGAGCCTCTTTCAACTTCCCCATCAGAACAACCTCCACTCGGCACATTGCCCCTTGCTATTTCCCAGACTCCACTTACGCCCAATAACCCTGCGTCTTCCCTTATCCCACAGACTCCTCCCCTTACGCGCAGCGGTCGTCATGTCCGTTTTCCCGACCGTTACCATCTTGTACAATATGCATAACACTCCCCCCTTTTCCATCTATTAACAACGTTTTTTTTTTAAATCAGTTCTCCTAGGAGGGGGAGTATTGTAGTGACATTTAAGTCTGTCTTGTTTTAATCAGTTACAATACGCTTTGACAAAACTTTGAATAAGACAAAGAACACGCACGTGCACTTATACCTGCTGACGACATTGTTCTTATTTACTAGTTTGTAACTGTTGGGGTATATCTAACTTCGTTTCCCGAATAGCCTACTTACTGTGCCCAACTTATGGGTTTATCACTTACAGATGTCCCTCAATGACAAAGAAGACCTAAGAAGGATGCAACAATAAACAACGATTCCAGTTTCCCCTCTCAACCACTGTCCCTTAGGAGATGCCTTCAGTGTCAGAAAAGACGTAGTAAGAATACAACAATAGCTTTCATTTACAGAAACAGTAATCAGTATAGGTACAATAATTGGCAATCAGAATATAAGATTTGGGCTATGTACACAGGATTGAAATCAATGACGCATTATGCCTCCACCTGCGGCAATCCGCAGCAGACAAATCTCTTCCACATGCCACGTAATCGCCTTGCAATGCGATTTGGCTCTTTCTGATCCAATAGCATGTTCGATTCTAAAATGATTAGCATTGGTGACATGATATTTGGAAATTAGAGTGCAGATAAGAAATATGGAAGGAGCATTGGAATAGTGCATTAATGGCATCTGGATTTTAGCGATTGAGTCATGGGCTTACGTGATAGCCGGCTGACATCCTTCCAGTTGCGACGCTGGCGTCTTCTGGACGCGGTATCAGTGCACGTTGGCTGACACGCCGCTAACTCAGCAACTGACGCACTGCTGTGTTCAACTAGCAAACTCGTCCTCTCCGAGAGCACATGTGTGTCCGGCAGTGGTGGTTTCTGTGCAGTGCTGTTGTTTTCGGCATTTGGATGTGAAAACAGCGTTGCTTCATCCAGCCCGTTCTCCTCATCGTCCTCCTCTTCATAACTTTCGTCCCAGTTCAGCTCCTCAGCCCTTTCCTCATCCTCGGAGACCTCTTCGATGGTGTAGAGGGTTGGCTTGACGGCCACCTTTCTGGCTATTGGAGGCGCATACTCCACGGCGCTGCCTAGTCGAGAAGATAAATAAGAGGGCAATGTTCAATGGTACTGGGCGGGTTGGGCAATACTGAATGCAAGTCGGAGATTCACTTACCTCCTTCCGTCCGTCTGACTTCGCTCTGCCATGACGCATTCTTTTCCGTTGTTCCAACGTCTGGCGCCGGCCCTCGTTCTTCGAGGTTACACAATGCATTCATCCTCATTACCATGTCTCCACCAGTGGCCGAATCTCCGGTTGGTGGACTTGCTGCATCTCTGTAGACAGGAAATCAGTACGAAGTCGTTCAAACATCCGCAAGATTTGTCAGGCGTTAATACTGATTGAAAAAATAAGCCTTTAAAGAGCCTCGTCCATGGTGCGCTAACCTTCTGGAAACATCGCCTCTACTGGAATTCTGAGGAAGGAATTTGACGATTTGCAGATGGCTGCTTGCCCGCAGATTACAGAAATGATGGGAGAGAAACCAGAGGCATGACGTTGTAACAGTCAAATTCAGTGACGACATCAAGACAAAAACAAAATCTGCAATGAGAAAAGGACGTTTGGCTAGTTAATTATCATCTGCCTGTGTACATGCACACAATAATTTAGTAAGGTTGCCTAGGTTCGTAAAACCAGGAAATATAAGCCACTACACCACGATGTACAGTAAATGAAAGGATTGTTTGAATTGCATTAATGACGTTAAGAAAAGCACTTACCGGTTGCCAGATTGATTAAGAAATGCATAACAACAGTGTGGATTGGATTGCAGAATAAATCAAGAAGAAATAATGCGCAGACGTTAATCAGTAGCATCTGTGCGCAGAGATCGGAGAGCCGCTGAGCGTTCGACATCGCCGTGTGCGTGCTGTGTTTGAATGACAGGGTGAGTATTGATCGTGCGCAGGTCGGCGTTCAAATGGTAGCGCGAGAGCGCGGAGGTCGAATGTTTGCATGAATACACGGGCCCAATCTTCAGGTAGTCAGGACTCCGTAGAGACATCATTTTATTGGGAGTGATGCGTCCTCATGTGTTATCCGTTGTTAGCAAACGCAGTTTTAACTAATGGTGACAGTCTCCTTTCTTGAGATGAAATTTCCAACGGGAAATTGCTGACTATATTTTCAACCTTAGGGACGTTAAAAAATACGACAGTTTTGGGTAGGCTATGTGGCGAAAACCAAGCTGGACACTTTTGACACATTACCCATGTAAAATATATTGCGCTTTAAAGTCCTCGGAAATTAACTGCAAACTGGTGGTAGATAAGATTATCTGAGGAGAATGAATTGCTCACCGGATCGGGGGACTTTTCAGGCTGACGTTTCGAAGAGCTGGGGCTGCTCTCCATTGTCAAAGCGTCAAGTGAAGAAATCGATCAGCATTTTTTGAATAGACTGCCGCATTAGTTGGCCCTGGGCTGATCGATTTTTTTCTTCCTTCTCTGCCCCGGCCTACTGGCCGTCGCCTGTGAATGTTTGTGGCCTCCTGTAATACGTGTCGTCACCTCAATTGGGGTTGGTTGCGTTTGCTTTCCCCTTTTGGGTGAAGTGGTCGACAGGCCGTGTTTGCTCGGCATTCTTAGGCTCCGTGTGATTGTCTTGTCTTCGTCACGGTGTATGAAGTGACGTAGGACTTTATAGGCCGAAGGAAGGTCTAGATGCCTGTTGATGGAGTTGGCAACATTCATTCTCCTCAGATTACCGACCCGGATCTCTTACTTTTGCTAACCTGAGATAAGATTATGCTAGGGTCTATAGGCGCAGACCGAAATTTGATGCCTGTAAATTTGAGCCAAGATCAATTAGCTACAGCGAAATGACCATGTTATATTCATTAACTATCGATAGACAGCTAGTAGTATGTTTTTGCATCAGAAGATACCATACTAGCAGCACAGGCGCTAGCTAGAAGTCCAGACAATTTCCGCCAGAAGGCGCCGGGGAAAGCTGGGGGACATACTGATGAGCCAAACACAAATGAGCCGTAGAATATCTGCGAAATCGGCGTGTTTGCGTTTTTATCTAGTACTTGTGCTGCCAGTATGGCATCTTCTAACGATAAAACGATTTAACACTGTTGCACATCCAACGCATTCTTTATTGGAGTCCGAGCGTTGAAATTTCGCAAACGGATAAGCATAAAGATTTATCCAAGGAATATCTTTACCCATCTCCTAAAGCACTAGATGCCTTGTCGTAGCTAACGACGACACATAAGAATTATAGGAAATTGAGGAACTACATAAGATTATCCCCTAAACAGATGGACAGAGCAGTATTGCCGACGAGCAGAGGAAAGACTGAAGTGACGACTGCTGACTTCTTTTTCATCGGTAGACGCACATACTCTCTTCATTACTCATTGGCAATCCTTCTCTGACTGCCTACAATGGGAGCTGCATGCCAAGACAGGGCACATGTACTCGGTGTTGATTGACACCACTCCCGTCTGACGATCGAGTAATAGTAGTAGTATTAACAACATAAGTAGAGGGCAACATGCAATCAAGGAGGCGGCCCAGGCTAACTCGCGTCCTTCTCCACCAAATAAATATGTGACCCGTGGTAGAGTTCGGCAACCGTCTGGGGTGTCTAAGCAGTCCTAGTTAGGGCTAGTACTGCTAATCCTCTGGTGGGGAAGGGGCTGGATATGGTTCCCTAGACAGACGCTGGGGAATCGCACTACCTGTTAGCATACAGTGACTCGCAGATGCAAATCTCGCGATCGAAACACTGCAACGAAGCACAATCACTCCCTGTTCCCTCTAATCCACACAACCTTCTAGGCCGTTACAGTAAGCCTGCTCACCCTGACGATCTGCAACATTGGTTTCATTTTAGACAATCCGCAGAGCAACTGACCGGAACGGAGGACGGATCTAAATGAACGGAAAGTTGAAATTGGAAAAAGACGTGATTTTCTACCGAATAAGTGAAAGAATGAATATTTTTATGCATGTTTTCCATGAAATATAATTGAATTTTCAAGGGCATCGAAACTCAATGCGAAAAGTGCATACTACATAAGTCGTCATCTTTTGCAGGATATAGATCTTGCATGCAGCCGAAAATAAGTTCTTTCAAAAGCGGACACCCTGAGGTGACTGGATCATTATAGATTTATGCTGCATCATGATTAGTTTTACAACACTACTTAATTTATCTTTTCGAAACGAGAACGCATTTCGCAATTTCGGTTGACATTTCATGAGTTAGCCCATCTACTGCATGTGAGGAGTATGCATGCACTTTTTGGGGTAATGTCTCTTTGTCGCTGACTAACTGGTGACCAGGCATTTGAAAGGAGATGACCTAGGCTAAATGCAGGACTGTGTCTCAGCTTTGCGGGATGTGTGTGTTTTCTAGGCCATGCTGCAGAAAGCCACCGCCCTCGCAGCCTGTTGTGCGCGAGCAGCCCTCTCGTGTGTTCAAGTTGTTTCTGACCCATTTATTTTACGTGTCAAAATCCTACACAAGTGTTTGTTGTGAGCCAGACGGTGTGGAGGTACTCCCAGGTGCGCATACGGCCGTGCCAGCCACCTGCGCCCCCTTCCGCCTAAGGCTTTCTTAACTATTTCTTGGAACCGAGCTTATGTGCGGAGGTGGGAGTGCGGTGGTTGCTGTGCAAGTCTACTGCCACTATAAACTACTTCAGACACATGTCACTGTACCTGCTCTCAACTTGCTGTGGTGCACACGGTGGACAACGTCGGCAACGACGGTCGAACCGTCATACCTACATCGATTTTGGTGAACACCTCTTAAATACTTGAGCCTGGTAGTCATCTAGTGGATTCTAGATCATGTCACAACGAAGATAGAAATACCCAGCCCACTCAGACATGAGGGTTTCCTCCTTTCTAAAAATCTCCTGTGATTGTGTTCATAGATGTACCTCAATGCCAAAGAAGACCTAAGAAGTATGCAACAATAAACAACGATCCTAATTTCCCCCGCCACCGCAGCCCGATAACGGATGCCTTCAACGTCAGAAAAGGACTCGTAAGAATGCAACAACATATTTTATTCGAAAAAACGGTAATCAAGTTAGGTACAAAAATTGGCAATCAGAATAGACGATTTGGACTATGTACACAGGACTGAAATCAGTGATGCATTATGCCTCCACTTGCGGCAATCCACAGCAGAAAAACCTCTTCCACATGACACGTAGTCGCCTTTCAATGCGGTTTGGCTCTTTCTGATCCAATAGCATGTTCGATTCTAAAATGATTGACACTGGTGAGAGGAACGTATGAAAGTAGAGCACAGATGACAGAAATGGAAGGAGCATTGGAATAGTGCATTAATGACATCTGAATGACAGCGATTCAATCATGGACTTACGTGATAGCCGGCTGACGTCCTTCCAGTTGCGACGCTGGCGTCTTTGGGCTGCGGTATCAGGACACTTTGGCTGACATACCGTTAGTTCAGCGACTGATACACAGCTGTGTTCCACTTGCAAACTCGTTCTCTCCGAGTGCACATTTGTGTCCGTCAGTGGTGGTTTCTGTGCAGTGCTGTTGTCTTCGGCACTTTGATGTGGAAACAGCGTTGTTTCATCCAGCCCGTTCTCCTCTTCGTCCTCCTCTTCATAACTGTCGTCCCAGTTCAGCTCCTCCGCTCTTTCCTCCTCCTCGGAGACCTCTTCGATGGTGTGGAGGGCTGGCCTAATGGCAATCGTTCTAGAAACTGACGGTGGGCATTCCTCGACTCTGCCTTGTGGAGAAGAAAAATAAGGCAGTGTTGAACCAAACCAGGTGAGTGTTTCAATGCTGGATGCAAGTCAAAGATGCGCTTACTTCGTTCCGGCTCTCTGACGGTACACTGCAATACCGCGTTTTCCTTCCCCGTATCCCCATCTTCAGTAGATTCTCGTGTTTCGGAGCCAACTAAGATGGGCGTTCTCCCTACCTCTTCGCCATCATTAGCCGATTTTCCGGTTAACTGCCTAACAGCTGGTCTGAAAGTAGACTAATAGAAGAAGTTCTTCGGACATGAACAATGTCTGTCGTATGTTAGTAGGATTGATATGAATTAGCTTTAAAAATGATGCACTAACCTTCTGGAAATATCGCCTGCACTGGAAGTCGGCGGAGGAAATTGTGCAAAATGTAAAATCGTGTGTATTGTCGGTTTCCAGCAATGATTGGAGAGGTGCAACATGTATGCAGTCAGAATGAATATTGAAATGGGGGCGAGAACAGTATCTGCAATGAAAAAAATGTTTTGGATTTGTTCAGCAACATCTCCTTTTGCACAGAAACGCACTAAAGTACGAAGACTGCCTACATTTTTAGAACCAAAAATTATAAGCAAATAGACTAAGGCGTATAGGGAATGAAAAGATTTGTGTCCGGCAGTGGTGGTTTCTGTGCAGTGCTGTTGTTTTCAGCATTTGGAGGTGAAAACAGCGTTGCTTCATCCAGCCCGTTCTCCTCTTCGTCTTCCTCTTCATAACTTTCGTCCCAGTTGAGCTCCTCCGCCCTTTCCTCATCCTCGGAGACCTCTTCGATGGTGTAGAGGGTTGGCTTGACGGCCACCTTTCTGGCTATTGGAGGCGCATACTCCACGGCGCTGCCTAGTCGAGAAGATTGATAAGAGGGCAATGTCCAGAGGTACTGGACGGGTTGGGCAATACTGAATGCAAGTCGGAGATTCACTTACCTCCCTCCGCCTGTTTGACTTCGCTCTGCCATGACGCATTCTTTTCCGTTGTTCCAGCGTCTGGTGCCGGCCCTCGTTTTTCGAGGTTACACAATGCATTCATTCTCATTACCATGTCTCCACCAGTGGCCGGATCTCCGGTTGACGGACATAGCGCATTTCTGTAGACAGGAATTCAGCAGAAGTCGTTCAAACATCCGCAAGATTTGTCAGGCGTTAATACTGAATGAAAAAATAAGCCTTTAAAGAGCCTCGCCGATGGTGCGCTAACCTTCTGAAAACATCGCCTGTACTGGAATTCTGAGGAAGGAATTTGACGATTTGCAGAAGGCTGCTTGCCGGCAGATTACAGAAATGATGGGAGAGAAACCAGAGGCATGACGTTGTAAGAGTCAAATTCAGTGACGACATCAAGAAAAAAACAAAATCTGCAATGAGAAGAGGACGTTGGATTAATTAACCATCATCTGCCTGTGTACATGCACACAATAATTTAGTTAGGTTGCCTAGGTTCGTAAAACCAGGACATATAAGCCACTACACCACGATGTACAGTAAATGAAAGGATTGCTTGAATTGCATTAATGACGTTAAGGAAAGCACTTACCGGGTGCCAGATTGATTAAGAAATGCTGACCAACATTGTGGATTGGATTGGAGAACAAATCAAGAAGAAATAATGCGCAGACGTTAATCAGTAGCATCTGTGCGCAGAGATCGGAGAGCCGTTGTGCGTTCGACATCGCAGAGTGCGTAGCGTGCTGTGCTTGAATGTCAGGGTGAGTATTGATCGTGCGCAGGTCAGCGTTCAAATGGTAGCGCGAGAGCGCGGAGGTCGAAATTTTGTATGGGTGCGCGGTCCTCAAACGTTAAGTAGTGAGGAATGTGTTGCAGCATAGAGCCTCTCTCCTATCGAAAGAGACATCAGTTTATTGGGAGTGATGCGTCTGATTGGGTTATGCGTCGTTAGTAGGCGAGATTGAGATTAACAGTCATCTCTACCGGGTGAAAATTTTCGACGGGAATTTCCTCATTATTCTTTCGGCAGGACTGATTACCGTGGTACGCTATAAATGACATGTTAACAGAAACTGCCTGCAATACTGCCAATTCGAGCCAATTTCCATTGAAATTAGGGTAAGGTTTCAGTTCAGAGTTAATATTAATTTAAGCTATTTGTGTAGGATCCACAAATAACATGAGCTAGCCTGTGGACAGAAGGTATTTTAAATGATTATTGACGGTGAGACATCCTTTACCTGACGACATCAATGGCAGTTGTTGAAAATGTTATCCTCTCCCCCTCCGCTGCCTCAAATGGGGGGGCACGTTTGATTCGATCACCGCTGAAGGATTTAATCTATCTTGCAATGTTCCCACAAGAATAAAAAGACAGCGTAGAAGATTTTATGTTTTCTGGAGAAGGCACACTCGAATACTTTTTCCGGAATGGCGTATCGTGGAATAACGTTGACGACAGATAAGCAATTGAGATGCGAAAAATGGATAAAAATCTAGCCATCTTTGGTTTAGCAAACAACAGGTTGGCATGATGAGCTAAGACGGTGCTGACTGAGCAAAGTCGAGCATGCTAAACGGTCAGCCACCATTTACCCAATGGCTGCTGAAGCAAGGCATATTCAAGGATGCATATCCCATTGCAGTTCCCGACATAGAACAGAATACTCCGGGTGATGATGGTGTAAAGCTAACTTGAGAAAAATTCGACTCACTGGTAGTGAGACAGAGGTGTTTTCCAATATTCCTGCAGGAATAAATTCCTGCAAGAATAAAAAGCGGCAAATGTGAAAGACGATATATTCTGGAAGTTCCTTGCTTCACAAAGCAAATAAACGGTATTTTGCCATGCTCTGACGAAGATACTATCATGTGCATATCAAAAATGAAAAGTTGATGCTAAATTTTTGAAAGCTAGATAGACTGTAAGTAAACATTTTTGTGATAGGGCTGCCTTATGTGACCCCCTAGACAGGAGATGAGAACGGGGACCGCCCGCAATACGGGTCGCTTTGAGCCAACTTCCAGTGAAATAAGGGTTAGGTTTAAGGCTAGGGTTAAGTTAAGAATTAGGTTTAAGATTAGATTTACAGTTAACGGTAAGGATGGCCAAGTTCTATTTTGGGTAAAGATAGGGACTTGTGTTCATTGCAGAGTAAAGCTGTATGGTAATGGCCAAGATGACGGCAACGCTTTAGTCTCATATTAGAATTATTGTTGAAGCTTAGACAACAGAATATTTTGCATTTTCCGGAATTGGTGGGAATAAGTCCATCATTATTACTTGGGCAGGGCGTGCTTATTCGCATGTCCTTTAGGAGGCCACATACGTCAGCGCTACCATTTTGAAGTCCAAGACGAGTAAAGACAATACTTAATGTCGTATTCCTTAGATGACGTACATGAG